AAAGCCCCACAACATGATACAACGACTACCGTGCTTGACTGTTGGTAAAGCACCATCAGGTCCAAAAATCTTAGTTTGACTTCCCTGTACATAGTTTATGCCTCTATGGCCAGATTGCTCTTTTGTTGTTTTGTTGGCCACACATTTCTCAAGAAGTATATTCAAAGCGGTGTGTGAAGAGTAGGTTTTTAAGGGAATGATAAAAGAAATTTGATAATTTACTGCTAATTCATGGTGATAAGGATATACTCTACAAATGAAAAGGGGTTGAGTCAAAGCAGATGACAAAGTCATGACTCAAATTTCCTTTCCTGGTTGTGTTTCTAGAAGTATAAACTTCTAAGAAATAGTTTTGTATAAATATATAATATTATGTGTGCTTTTTTTTTTTTTGCAGACTGAATAGCGGCAAACTAACTTTTTTTGTTTTGTTTTTTTCAATGATTGCTCAACTTCATCCTCCACTTCTATAATGTTCCGTAACACCACAGTTACTATATTCCCAGAAACGGGGAAAAATGCAAAGTCATGCTGCATAGCGGCGCGGTTGGCTGGGGAGAGGGAACTGAGAGGAGGTTCGTTCACGGTGTGATAGAGTTATCGCGAGATCTTGGAGGTGGTATAAAATCTCCAGTCGTACCAGCGAGCCAGTCTGTCGCCCCATTCTCGGTACGGTGGTGTTTCTAAGCTGAAGGTAGGCCTTTAAAAGACACTTTTTAAGTTATAGATTCTCTTTTCTGGTTTATTGTTTGGGACTTTTTTTATAGTGCGAAGCTGTATTCTCGCGGTTTTGTTACGGTCGTGTATTAAAAGCGTTCAACAAGTCTTTTTTTTTTTCCTTAATCACAAAACGGATGCTTGCCTAAAAAAAAAAACTGACAAAATGAACTGTAGCCTATTTTTAGCCTATTTGGGTTTATCTAACATCAGAGTTTCTTTTTTTTACATTACTTTTTTTGATCTGGGTAAATGCTTGCAATTTGTTTTCGTTAAAAAAAATAAAAAGTTTGAAAGAAAAAAATAGTTTTCTTTTTCATACGGAAACACCTGTCAACGAAGAGGAGAAGTGGTGATTTATGTTTCGAAAGATGCCAGCTGATTACTGGCTTCTGCCTGTGGTTTTGAGGTTGTTTTTTTTTCTTTCTTTTTGAAAAATAATCAGATTAGTTATTTACAGTACTTTCTTAAATGCCACATTTAAAACCATCGTAATTATCTGAGATTGTGGACAAAACAGAATTTAAAATCATATTTTGGATCTCAAACACTGTAAAGCAGAGTGAAGCTTTGTAAACTATTTTTTTGACGGATTTTGTAAACAAAACTTACAGCTGGGCTGATTATTTATGTTAGACGTTTATTCTAGAATAAACACACGGCTGTAATTTTTCAATGGGGTTGTGCGTCACATGAAACCATTTCCTTCTCCTGTGATCCAGTCTAGTTGAAGATGGCTGCAGGCAAAGCAAAAATTGGAAGTCTGGCTCCGGACTTCACGGCTAAAGCAGTGATGCCAGATGGACAGTTCATGGACCTGAAGCTGTCTGATTACAGAGGTAATTCTTATCCAGATGCATACAGGATGTTTTTGAATTTAACCATAAAAGGACAAAAAACATTCTCCTTGTTTCAATTTCCAATTCTTACAGGGAAGTACGTGGTCTTTTTCTTCTATCCGCTTGACTTCACATTCGTGTGTCCAACCGAGATAATCGCTTTCAGTGACGCTGCTGATGAATTCAAGAAGATTGGCTGTGAAGTTATTGCTGCTTCTGTAGACTCTCACTTCTCTCACTTTGCATGGTATTCAACATTTCTTTACTGCAACATGCTCAATGACTTTTTGAGCAATTGCCCTTAAAATATATATTTTAATGCGCTCTTAAAGGACCAACACGCCTCGTAAACAGGGAGGTCTGGGTGCCATGAAGATCCCACTTGTGTCTGACACGAGACGCACCATCTCAACAGACTACGGCGTCCTGAAGGAGGACGAAGGCATTGCCTACAGGTGGGCAGACATGGACCTTAATATTTCATCATTAGACACTAGATTTCCCAGCTTTTATTTAGAGTTTTGACTGCTTTGAATGGTGTAGAAATGCATTTAAATTGTCAGCGATTTTGTGTATGTGATCATCAATTTCTTCTGTTTCAGGGGTCTGTTCATTATTGACGACAAGGGTATCCTGCGACAAATCACCATCAACGATCTGCCAGTTGGTCGCTCTGTTGAAGAGACCTTACGTTTGGTTCAAGCATTTCAGTTCACTGACAAACATGGAGAAGGTTGGTTTGTTTTCAGTTTTGCTTGCAGCCTTCTGTGACTTAAAAAAAAAAAAAATAATAAATATATATATATAAATGATATGGGTTAAAAATCATTTCATGCTTATCTTTTGTTTTTGTTTTTAGTCTGTCCAGCTGGCTGGAAACCAGGAAGTGACACAATCAAGCCAGATGTCCAGAAAAGCAAAGATTTCTTCTCCAAGCAATAATAAAAGAAAGACGGCAGTCTGCCGTCTGCTCTAGCAGATTTCATTTCGATATGACATTTCCAATAATGTTTGAGTCTGCGCCTTGTCGTCATCATACACTGTATTATACTTTTGTGTAAATGGTGCCTTGCGACCAAAGTACAGTAATTATACTGTGGTAGCTGTTTTCATCTGTGGTTGTTATTTGACATGTTATTGTCTGTGGGTCTAGTTTGTTGATGTTTTATTACATCAATAACAGTTAACTTGTTAGCATTTACACTGTTGCAAAGACAGACCACATGTTCTAAAAATGTTTTTTTTTTTTAAACTGAACAAAAAAAAATTATTTCACCTAAATAAATTATGCATTTGACAAAAACACTGCTTTTCATTTTTAATTTTAAAGCACCATTTATTGAGTGTTCACTAATTTAGACTTAGACAAACTTTATTGTTTTGTATACAAAATGAAATTTCAATTATACAGCTTTCTGACTGAATGAGCAGCTTAGTAGTGAAATGAACATTTCCATTTAAAATAGTGCAGCAGTGATCAAAATGTAAGCTGTGGGAGAGACATGGTGCAAAAGCTATAAATGTGGACTGTCCAGAGCAGTGCAAAAATAAATGGATGTGGTGCAAAATGTAGTAGAAACACTGAGGTGAGTTATATTATCAAATATGATCACTAGTGAGCCATTAGAGTTTTCAACAGTCTTAATGGTAGCATGGAAAATATAAATGGTGCCCTTCTGTGTAAAAGGTAAAAATTACCATACAGCATATATTGCTATATTGATATTTTAATGGATAAAAATGACTTGTAAGGATAAATGGAATTACAAAATGAAATCAGAGTGGTTACTCTTGTCAGTCTAGATATCTCTGCTGTGACTGACTCATGTATACTTGCCAAGCATTGATTGATCAAGCTATAAAAAGCATTAGCAGCAATAAACCACGGTTTTAAATTACTTTTCTAAGGGCAACAAGGATGCTTCATGTTAAACTAGAAATGAAGTGCAGACTTCAGTGTTGCCCCATATTGTTACACCTATAACTAAAATTTGCTCATGATCTGGATCATTACCAAATTTTAATTGTTCCTTGGACTGAGCTGTACGGAAGAGGATTAGGGCCACTGGAAAAAAAAAAAGTTAACTGATTTTTAAATTTCTGTATAATATAAGAAAAGTCAGAATTCTGACTTTTTTTTTCTCAATTCTTAGTGAATTTTGAGAGCTAACATACATGCTACCAACGAGCCGTAGCATGTACTGTATGTTGGCTCTCAAAAATGTTTGTTTTAGAGACCAGCTCTCTTTTTGTAATCACCTTCTGCTCTTCGATTAATGAAATAGTATCACAGGGGACTCCTCAGACACGTAAACAGTCTCCTAATTCCCTCATTTTCCACCAATGTGTTAATGGACCTCTCAAACAACTCACATCTTTGTTAGTGAAGCTGACTGCTCCCACGTCTCTTTCTTTATGGTGCCCATCTACATTAAGAACCAAAATTCTGAGATTAAAATCAGAATTCTGATATTAAAGTGATAATTCTGAGAAAAAAGTCAGAATTCTGAGATTAAAGTCAGAAGTCTGAGATAAAAGTCAGAATTCTGAGATTAAAGTCAGAAGTCTGAGATAAAAGTCAGAATTCTGAGATTAAAGTCAGGATTCTGAGAAAAAAGTTAGAATTCTGGGATTAAAGTCAGAATTGTGAGATTAAAGTCAGAAGGCTGAGATTAAAGTCAGAAGGCTGAGATTAAAGTCAGAAGTCTGAGATAAAAGTCAGAATTCTGAGATTAAAGTCAGAAGTCTGAGAAAAAAGAATTCTGAGATTAAAGTCAGAATTCTGATATTAAAGTGATAATTCTGAGAAAAAAGTCAGAATTCTGAGATTAAAGTCAGAAGTCTGAGATAAAAGTCAGAATTCTGAGATTAAAGTCAGAATTCTGAGATTAAAGTCAGAACTCTGATTCCCCCCCCCCATATTAAACTGAAATTATATCAAAAAATCTGCTAACTTAAAAAAAAAATTTCAGCGGCCCTAATCCTCTTCCATAGTATGGTGCCTTTGTTTAAAAAAAAACACATGAAAATCAGTTTATAACATTTCAAGTTATCTAGTCTACAGACACAACTAAAAACATAAGCTCCTTGGCAGATAATTAATGTCACCATTAAATTATAATTAAATTAAATGTGTATTTTTGCTCAATATAATTTCTTTAAGCTCAAAAGCCTAAATCTGTATCAAACCTAATCACTAATGTGGGTTATGATAATATGGATTTATGAACATAATCAATCATACAGGAACTGTTCTTGAGCGGGAAAACTGAAATGCTTTCTATCAGATTATATCACTAACATTTTTTCACTGTAAACGGTTGTTTTATTGTTCACCAAAGAAAACTGAACTTTACAGAGAGTAAACTAGCCTTTATGTATTAATATAAACTAGCTAACTCTGTCTGTTAGCTCGTTCGGCCGTTAGAAGCTAGCTGCCGGTTGACTCAGGTAGCAGGAAAAATGGCGTCCACCAAAATGATCCTTAGAGGAAAAAAGGAGGAAACCGTCGAGGTTTGTTGAAAACACACTGCTTAAATACTAACACAAACTTTTCTTTTTGTTGTTTCTATGACAATATATAATTGTATATAAGTGTTTTTGATTTCCCCCCCCTTATTAATCAAGCTATCACATCCAACCACAGCTAGCTTGTCCAGATGCAAATCATTTAATTCAAACATTGACTTTTTTTATATATATATTAGAAGTATTTATTTATTGTTGGTGGGAGGATTATTAATTAAAGTAGTTAATCTCTCCTTTGGTAACATGGACAGATGTCAAAACCTGCTGGGAAATAAAATAATCCCCATAAAGCTGGTCAGCAGAAAGAATTGCTCTGATTTTCTTGGTGGTAAAATGTACCAACTGTTTAGATTTTTTTTTTTACTTTTCACTGGACCAAGACCAGTGAAAGGATGGAATTAACAGCGGAATTGATCCATGCTGTTTGATAACTCTAACATTATGGAGCATTTATAAACTAAGGAGAAATATTCTTCCTTTGTTAACGCCTCAATTCTTCTCTGACTGTATCTGTTTTTACATCTCCAGTCTTCCTCCATATTCTATGACCTTAATTCTTTGGTAAATGAAATTGAAATTTGAGTGTTTTTTTTTTTTAAACCCCATTTTACAGGTCATTTTAAGGCATCTCTAAAAGGGTCCTGCAGCCAACTTCCTGTATACGTCTGTGTGTTTTAACTCTTGGAGTAAATAAGTTGGTTAGATAAAAAATATATTGATATAACACCATTCACCGTATAAAAAAATCTAGAGATGCTCCACAGAGCGTGGTTACACAGACAAGCAAGAAATTGAAATGATACCAATAAACATTCTGTGTTAAAGTTCTATCAGAAAGAAAAAATTAAGTTTAATCAAAAATACACATCTAAATGTATCACTTTGTGTCATAAACCTACATCATTTCTGGGTTTCACTCTTACAACTGAAGTATTAAAATACTTGTAAGCTTTGGCTAATATTCAAATTTACTGAGACCATCTGTGTTTTGTCTCTATGGCTTATCTATATGCATTTTTTTCTTAAAGTGGACCGGATTATTCATGAATGACTTAAAATCCAAACAAGAGTCTCTGGTCTTTGTCAAGAGGATGTTGGCCGTGGCGGTGTCTTCCATCACCTACCTGAGAGGGATTTTTCCAGAGTTTGCCTACAGATCCAGGTACCTGGAAGGTGAGCACAGAGCAGAAATACCCTGAACTTTGCCACAGGCTACGCTTCTTCTGAAAAGCTTTGGATCTACACCAAACAGAGTTTTTAACACAACGTTCTAAAGTATTTTTTTTTTCCCCCTTTATCTCTATTTTTCTAGATTTGTGCCTCAAAGTTTTGCGTGAGAACAGCAGCATCCCTGGCGCCAACAAAGTTGTGAGATGGTAAATATATTATTCTTGCCTCAGGGAGGCTAGAATCTAGAATTTTCTATGTTTTCGGTCACGCCATTGGTAAATGATCCCTTTGTCCTTGCCTACAATTTAATCCAGGATGATGGGCTGCTTCGATGCATTAGACAAGCAGTATGTAAGTTACATCCCTCTTTTCTTAAACTTTGAAATGATAACAGTCACATATTCTTCCAGTTTTAACAATACTACTCTACTTTTACCATTGTTACATGTTGTCCCATAACAGCTGCAGATTATATACATTGGGGTGAGTATTTTGCACAAACTAAACCAACATTCAGATTGGATGCACTGGAAGAAATCCAAATCTAAATAAGTCAATTTTTCTTAACCCTTTATAGTGTAAATTACCATTTTTGATCACTTGCATACCCCTTAAAAATGGAGTCCCCCCTGTCTTTCAGTTAAGTCTAGAAGCACAAGATCTATATCCAGCCATTTAGCAAAGATTCTGCTACATGGCTGTACATCTTAT